GGAGGGAAGGAGGGTAGGGAGGGAGAAAGGAAGGAAGGGAGGAATCCAAGGAGTAAAGTAATACCTCACCCTTGGAACCAAGAAGGGAACCTGGGATTTTAATCCCATGGGTCTCTTTCCATGCTCATTTTCTTTCTTTCCTCTTAACTCAAAAGCTTTGGTAATTACTCGAGTAATTTTTTCTTTACATTAATGAACATGTGTTAATACCACCTGTATTTGTAATTTTAAAACTGATCATGAGTATTTTGTGTTTTGTAAGTACCCATGTACTCATGGTTATATAAAACTAAGCTAAAATATGAAGCTTCTGCCATCAAGACATTTATAATCTAGTAGCTAACACACATGAAATGCAAGGCAGGCAATTTTAAATTTCAGAAAAGTAGCTACATGGGAGAGAAATGAAGATATGCATGAAAGAAAAAAATATATATACATATATTTACAGATCAAAGCTTGTTGTTTTTATATTTTAAGGGTATTCTTCCCCATAATCTCATAAGAACAGCACTTTTATAGCTACAAAAGGTAACAGGCAAGAAAGAGAAGTGAGAGTAATTGAAGTTTCAATGTCACTCAGGACAGAAGAACATGAAGGCAACATGAAGACAGAAATAAGGGTTTTTCTCTCCACTGGTGCTTGCTCAAAAATGTTAAACATAATTAAAAACAAGCTCAGGACCAGGCATAGTGGTGCATGCCCATAATCCCACCTATGCAGGAAGCACAGGTAAGAAGATCTTGAGGCAATAGTAGAATGATCACAGTTTGAGGCCAAACACAGGCAAAAACGTAAGGCCCAATCTGAAAAACAACTAAAGCAAAAAGGGATAGAGGCATGGCTCAAGTGGTAGAGTATGCCAAGCATTCTCAGGCCCTGAGTTCAAACCCTAGTACTGCAAAAAAAAAAAAAAAAAAAACCTAGAGTAAGACACATCATCACATCTTCAGGCAAAAAGAATGTATGTATAGCATTGCATGTGCCTTCTCCCCTATCCTGACCCCAAAATTAACCAGATAAACAGTAAGTAGTTCTGAAAACAAGCTGCACTATGAATTTGGGGACAACTAAAGACACAAGAGTTCTCAAGTAATGAGTTCCCAATTCTAGAATTTGATGCCTCTGTCAGTCTTCACCATTGTCAGGTACAAAGCCTCCTGCTTAACATGCAAGTCTTCCCTTAAAAGACAGAGTAGAGGGAGCTTATTAAATTTGCTCCATGATACTAAGAATGAAACTTCATCTCTAACTAAAAGGTCTGCTGCTGAGGCAAGTTTTACCATAGTGGATATATTTTCTAATCCCCTCAAAGAAATAACATTTGCAAAGGTAAAGCATTCTCTTCATGTCCTGCTCATTTTAGTAAATGTTAATCACTACTTGTTCCATAAAAATGTAAAAGTGGCCTTTCCAAATGCAGTCATCCCTTGGTGTCTGGTAGACCGGTTCTAGGACCCCCTTGCAGATACCAAAATCCATGGACATTCAAGTTCCTTAAATAAAATGGCATAGTGTTTGCATATAACCTACACACATCTTCCTGTATGCTTTTAATCATCTCTAGCTTATTTATAACACCTGGTACAATGTAAATGCCACTAAGTAAATAGTTGTTATACTACATTACTTAGAAAATGATGACAAGAAGAAAAGTTTATATGTGCCCTGTATAAACAGAATTTTTTTCCCAAAGAATTGTATCTCAGGTTGATTGAATCCATGGGTGTGGAACCCACAGATACAGAGGGCTGACTGAACTCCATTTTTAAGTGAACAGAACACTCTGAAACAGAAAGATTACCCAACAACTACTCTGTCAGGTTCAAGGAAGGATGAAAGTCTGATGCTGTCTCTATTCAGGCCAAAAGAAAAGCATCACGGACTAGTTGAGCAAGGAGGCTCATGCCTGTAATCTCAGCTACCACGAAAATAGGAATCTGGAGGATCACAGATCCAAGCTAGCTGGGCAAAAAGATACCATCTCAACAAATAAGCTGGGCATAGTGGTGAGCATCTGTGATCCCAGCTAGGAAGGAGGCATAGGTTGGAGTACCACAGTCCGAGGCCAGCCCCAGGCAAACATGTGAGACCCTATCTGAAACATGACTCAAGTGATAAAGCACCTGCCCAGCAAGCTCAAGGCCCCGAGTCTAACATACCCACCAAAAAGAAAAAAGAAGCACACCAGACTACCTAATCAGTCATCCCAGAAGACTATAAAGTACAACATTCACTAGAGGCAAAAGTGAAGTGATGAGCACTCAGAAAAGGAAGAGCAACATGAACTGCAATTCTTACTGGTAATGGGAAATAAAAAAAAGTGATAAAGCTATGGGAATTTAGACCTATCTATGAAAATAACAATGGTATTTAGTTTTATTTTGTAGTGTACAGAAAATGTTCAGAATCTCTTAAGAATGAATGCCCTAAAGATAAGAAAAATAAAGAGAACAATTTATACAAAAAAAATTGTAAAGTACATCCACAGCATGGTTGACAGGTCTCTTAAGAACACATAAGGCTGGGTATGTTAGCACGCACCTGGAATCCTAGTACTTGGGAGAAGGATTGTAAGTTCAAGGCCAGCCTGGGCTACATAGTGAAACCCTGTTTCAAAATAACAAAACAACAAAAAAAGAAAATGAAATTTTTTATAGAATAAATTCTATTCTCAAGGAAACTCATCTAAAATAAAATGAGCAGAAAATAATCAACAACAATACTAGGCAAGAGTATTGTGTAACAAAAGGATACACAAAATGACAGGAGGGCATAGAGTAAGTAATTTCCACTCAAAGGCCACGTGGAAATCAAATTTGATCAATGCCATAAACAATAACTAGTATTTTCATAGGAATTAAGTGCATGCCAGAAAGAGTGCCCCATAAATAAAGGCACAGAAGCTTCAGACTATTCAAGATAAACTTAATCTATAAGATTCACTCACTCACCCAAAAACATTTCATAAAGGTCTATATTGTACATGAGACTGCTCTAGGTGCTAGGGACTAAAACCTTGTTCTAGGCTCATAGACTTTATATTCTAGTGATAGTGACAAATATTTTTAAGTGAATCTAAAAAATACTTTCTAGAACTAGAAGCCTAGCTCAAGTGGTAGAGCACAAAGCAAGTATGAATTCCTAAGTTCAAACCCCAGTACAGCCAAAAACAAAACAAACAAAAACTTTCTAATAATAATATAGGGAATGAATCCCATTTTGGTTGTTTGTATTTTATATTTTAAAAGAAACCATTTAGAAAAAAAGGAAAAATCTAAAAATTCTGGGTAGCATTTATATGTACAGACATAATAAATATATGTAGAATTACTGTATTACAAAAGCAAAATATTGCAGACTGCTTCCTTCCCTTGGGAATTAGCAGCCTCTGCAGAATGCTAATTATTTTTTATTTCTTATTCATTAAACACTGTATAAGTACCAGTCACTATCAAAGGCACACATTATTGAAAATTCAGAGCAATTCCATGAGAAAAGAAATAACCCTATTTTATAGATGAGAACAATGAAAATAGGCAACTTGGTCAAGGCCATACAATTAATCAATTTAGAGACAAGATTTAAATGTGAACCTTCTTACTCCAATTCCAAAGCTGTTTTTACGTATATAATTACAGAATGTAAAGATTTATGGAATAAATTAGTATAGACTTCTGTGTTGTTAATTCTTGTTATTACTAGTAACAATCAGACTCATTTACTGAGAGTTTGCTATCTTCCAAGCACTGTGTTAGGGTACTTCTTCATATTATTTCATAACGCCTTCAGTAGATTTATGAGATAGTTACTGTCATTGCCATTTTACAGATGAGGCAGAAAAAAAAGGCTTATTAGTAAGCTGATAAAGTAATTTGTCAAGAATATTACTGAAGATACCTTAAAAGTAACTGAGGCCAATAGGAAAAGGGGACCAGGAACTAGAGAAAAGGTTAGATCAAAAAGAATTAACCTAGAAGGTAACACACACGCACAGGAAATTAATGTGAGTCAACTCCCTGTATAGCTATCCTTATCTCAACCAGCAAAAACCCTTGTTCCTTCCTATTATTGCTTATGCTCTCTCTTCAACAAAATTAGAGATAAGGGCAAAATAGTTTCTGCTGGGTATTGAGGGGGTGGGGGGAGAGGGAGGGGGCGGAGTGGGTGGTAAGGGAGGGGGTGGGGGCAGGGGGGAGAAATGACCCAAGCCTTGTATGCACATATGAATAATAAAAGAAAAAAAAAAAAAGAATATTGCTGAACAGGGTAGCAGAGGGTTGGCCTGGGTCTGTTTGGCTCCAAATTCTTAACTACAATGAGACTCATTTAAATATATTTACTAATTTGAAAGTTATACATTTTAGGATGGCTATATCTCCAAAATCTTTACATAAAACACATATTAAAATTAATGTGACAAAGTATATAATTCTTAAACAAAAGAAACAACTTGATGGAGGTATCTAAAATATATCAAACAAATCACTGGCTTATAAATCTTTCTTTTGAAATAAAGCTAAAATAAACAACTTTTTTTAAAAATTAAAATTAGTCTACCATTAAAAACATTTAGAAGCTAAAAATGGCTTTTAAATATTAAAAATACATATGTAGAAAAGAACTATTTGGAGGGAAACATAAGTTGACACATTTGCTTTCCTCTTTTTCATCAGCATATAAATATTTCTCTAATGATAATTATAGTTTCTTTAAGGAATGTTTTCCTAAATTACATGCTTAAAAAATAAGAAAAACATACAAACCCAAAATCACACTCAACAAAACTATATCGCCTGCATTAACCATTATTACTTTTCACCTCCTTATACTGCACATATCCTTGTTTCCAAACACCTAACCCAGACCAAATCTACTCTTAAACATCTAAATCTTTCAGTTTACCATAGAAAGCAATATAGAATTGTAAAGCATGATGCTCGAAAGATATCTTTCATATCTTTCGATTGCTTTCATAAGCAATGAAAAGACGGTTTACCATTTTGATGCCTGTGGAAAACGTCACTGGTTTTATAGGTTTTGGTTTCTCGAGCTGCATTTCCAATTGGGTAGATCTATCTTTATGCTGAGCCAGAAGCAGAGCAACAGGGAGATCAGAACTCTCCTGCAAAAGAGTTTAAGATGAAACTTAAAAAGGAAAAGCAACAAGACTATTTTAAAGTATGCCTTTTACATAAGCGTTTGTGTCAAACTAAATATACATTTTATGGAGACCACATCACAAAAACTACTAACATTCTATAATAAGAAAAGTCTGCTTTGGATTCATAAATCAAAATAACCTGCTAATAAGTATTTTTATAAAATCTACATTAAAGACCATCTACTAATATAGTCCTATTTCATTTAGCCACCAACTCTATTTATTAAAAAAAAAAAGCTAATCACAAAAAGAATATACAAAGTACTATAACCTAGATCAGATGTTTATCTAAGACACATTCTTTTTACCAGTGAATTTGGACCAGTTTGAATTGTTTCCCATTAGATCTCACTTGGGGCTGTTTTGAAATGATCCTTGTTCTGTTCTGCACAATGGAACTATTGTAAGTACAACCAAACATACATTTATTTTCTCCTTTACTTACTCTTAGACATAAAATCAAAATTTTAAATCAAGTAACAAAATGATAAAACACTTTAATTTCTTACATTGATACTAAACAGTCATTGTACAAATCTATATACACTTATTTTAATTAACAAGCAAATTACCAATTCTTATATGCAGATTGCTACTTATCTTGTTAAACATGAAGTCCTCTTATATGTTTAAAATGCTGTGGAGCTGAGATCTAAACTAAATATGATAGCTACAATTTTTCTTTTCTGAGTTGCCAGTTAAGAACCCAGAAACATGAAGAGCACAGTCTAGAGGAAAGGAAGTTCTCTAGTTCTCTAGTTCTCTCACTTTGTCTTCTCTCCCCTTCCCCCACCCCTTTCTCTCACTGAGTACATTCTATATCTATAAAAAAAGATAAATACAAAAATACATTTCTATCCCCTATATCAAGATTATCTATGAAAACAAACATTAACATAGAATATAGATCTTTAAAATAGTAACCACCCAGAACTTAATCCTGAAGAAACTCTATTGTTAACATTTTATAGTAGGAGAGCAAACATATAGCAGATCTTAATTTTCTTTCCAGATCTAACTTAATTATTTACTTATATAGGTTTGGCTTGCTTATTGAGACACGGTCTTGCTATATAGCCCAGGTTGGCCTGGAATTCAGTAAGTAGCCCAGGTTGACCTCAAAGTCATATCCTCCTGCCTCAGCCTCCTAAGTGCTGAGATCACAAATATGTACAATCACACCCAACTATGACTTAACAATTTTTTAATCACAAATGTGGTTAACTAATATACCTAAGATTATTATTTTTAAGGTTACAGTGTAGAAGTTAATTCAAGTAACATGCAATTTAATTGACAGAATTATCCTAGAATAAAGTAGAACATCAAGATTTTATAATAGAAATGCTTTGTGAGAGCAATGTCATAAAGATTAAAACTTTTAATAATAAAGACCTGGGGCATAGCTCAAGTGGTCAAGTGTTTATCTAACAAGAGCAAGCCCTGAGGTCAACTCCCAGTACCACCAAAAGAAAAAGTAATGGAAGAACACAAATTTATCTATAGAATAGACCCTTTAAGGCCCAAAATCAAGACAGGCAAGGTGGCTCATGCCTATAATCACAACTACTTGGGAGATAGAAACAGGAAGGTGGCAGTTCAAGGCCAGTCTGGGTAAAAAGTTAGTGAGACCACATCTCAACCAATAGCAGGGTATGGCGATATGTGTCTATCATCCCAGCTACACAGAAGGCATAAATAGAAGGATTATGGTCCAACTGGCTTGGGGAAAAAACACAGACCCAAAAAATAACTAAAGCAAAAAGGGCTGATGGCATGACTCAAGTGGTAGAGCACTTGCCTAGTAAGCACCAAGCCCTGAGTTCATCCCCTACTACCACCAATAAATAAATAAATAAAGTGAAATCAATAATGAAAGATTAATGAAATACAGCATGTAAATATACTTTAATACCTTTCATGTTCTACAACAAAGCATTAGCAATGCATTAGTAACAGTATTGTGAATCCTGCAGCTATTCTAGATTTCTACTCAGTATTTTTAATAAAATATAAAAGACAATTTTAAATGGACTATGGCCAAAACCATCTTTTAAAAGCTATTCCATCCTTTCATACGTAGAAACTTAAACAGAAAAAATAAATTTCCTTGGCTAAAAAGTTAAATCATTGGCTCCCAACTTACATATATTTTCTTTTTCTTTTTGGTGGTACTGGGGTTTAAACTCAGGGCTTCCAGCTTGGGAAGCAGGCTTGAGCCACACCTCCAGCCAGGCTCCCAATTTATATTCAAAATTAATTCAAATGCTTATCCATAACCGACATTTATTCTAAGAAGCAAAAATTTCTTATAAAAAAAAAAAGCAAGACAGTATGTTCACTTCAAAAGAGTTGCTAGTCAAGACTGGCTTGTTTAATCCTGGCTTCACATCCACATTAAAAGGAAATGAATGCTAAACTTTCTTCATAAATAGTTGAAAATTTATAAAAATAAACATTCTAAGTATCTAAAACTAATTTGAATATTAAGCCACAGAATTTACTTTAAACCAACTTAATTCTACTATAGCATTCTTCGTGAGTACCAAACTAGAATTAAGCATGACCTCTAACAACAAAACATATCTAGAGTAAGATAAACTATGTGAAACATATATACTCTAGGGAACACATAACATGTAGTCTCAGTCAGGCTATTTCAGTCTTCTTTACCTTGGAAGGTTCCATAACCTATAATAATTGCCTAAAGGCACACTGTTTAATATTTAAAGAAAATTTAATAAGACTGCCTGTAATACTCATTAAAAGCTTTCTAATGACCATTTTTAAAAGATTATTTTAACTGACTTTAAGCAAGCCATCTGGCAAACAATATTTCTAATAAAATTCAGCTACTGCGTTTGACAACAATATTAACTCATACAAAATTTAAGACATAAACTGAAAAGAATTTTCAAACAGAAATAAAAAGATTTAATAAGACAGGACCTGATTAAAAATCTTTTTCCAACCTGTTTAAAAAAATTAGTTTACAGTTAGGATTAAATAAATGGACTTTTTTTAGCCAACATTATGGTAAATGCTAAGCCATAAACATTAAGACTATAACATTAAAATCCTGTCACATACAGTATAAGGTAATGCCAAGGCTTTTTAAAAGATTAAAAAAGGGACTTTTGGCACAAGAACCAAACTCAAAAACAGGAGGAAAAAATACTATTTGTGTAAATTAGGTCCAAAGAATAATTCTACTATTTAAGCTTCTAGGCACGTTTACAAATGCCACTACTACTATATATGTATGTATGTGTATATATAATACATGAAACACATAAATATACACAGAAAAAGAGATACATTATTTCATTTGATTTATAAGAGTTCAAGAAGACAAAAAGAAATTTAATGAATTCAATTAGTTAATAAGGACTAGAAGTGTATTAACATATAATTTAAAATTTAATAAGGATTAAAATTTTAATATAACTAAGAATTTTTAAAAATAAATTTTAAAATGAAAACCAGAAATACAAACTGCAGTGCTAGTCTAAACCAATCTGCTGTAATGAATTGCACTAATGAATACAGTAAATTACTAAGACTTATTTAACCACCACGTTACGTGATCTAAATAGTGAGGAAAGTGTGTGGTAATGACTTGCAGGTGAAGAAAACAGGAAGCAAAGGGGGAAAAAAACTCACAAAAACCAGTATTAACTCCAGATTATACACAATGGACAACACTGGCAGTTTTACATTTTGCTTCATGCCTCAGTGAATTAAAGGGGAGCTTCATGCCAAGAGCACCCCAATGAAGCAGCAAAACTCAGTACTTTTTAGGACTAAAATGATACACAAGAATAACTGCCATGCAATGCTAGCTAAAATGAAAATAAAATCTGAAAATCCTTTATAGTGAATGCAACATAAAATACTAAAAGTATATTTTCATCTAATAGCAAAGCTCCATATTTAGGATTAATCTAGTTAGCTATATTGAGGAGAAACATTACCCCCAAAAAGAGTGCTCCTGTTTGTGTAAAATGATTGGGAAAGAATCTTTCAATATAACAATTATAGCATCAATATTTGCTAATTCATCCTTTAAAGTCTCACCAAACACAGCTACAAAAACTGTAAAACACATGTGTCAATTCAACTGTTAAAGACACAAGAAAAAACTAATGAAAGTTGTGAGAGAAAACATCATTATTCTTTTTTACATTCTAAAGTCCTCAATTTTAGAACCAAATTCACATTCCACTCATAGAAATTAGATAAGAGTTTTATAACAAACATTTTCTATGTAGGCCTCATTAATCCTCTTACACTTATTTTCCCTTTACTTTCTCACCTACTTCAAATTTAAGTCATTTGCCTTTTTCTTCTTATTCCTGGTTAACTGGCTTAAGAGCTTTTTAGGCAAAAACTCAAGAGAAAAACACACACATATGCATGTATCCTTATCACAGGATAACACATATCAATTAAGACAAGGGAGCAAAATGTGTTAAAACTGATAAAATAGCTCATGGAACTGAATTTATGTGGACATAAGTTGAAAGGGAAGAATACAAAAAGACTTTTATAAAGAGGAAGGTTTTCCCTAGTTTGTGATGTCATCAATATCACACAAGGTTGTAAGAATCAAATAACATAGTACACTTCACAAGCCTTAGTTATCATTATTTCTATTATCTAACAAAGTTGACTAAGGGGCTAGTTACTCAAAGTATGAATATTGCAACAACCCTGCCATTTCTTCAAAACATATTTTTATGCAAAAATGTGAAATACAATGCTGTCACAGAGTAACTAGTCACTAATAAACCTCAGCATGGACCCAAAAACTCACAAATGAGCTAGTTATTAGAAAACTAATATAAATCAAGAGAAAATGCTCTGAAAACAATGTGTTTTAGTCAGTAAGCTTAGAAATACATAAACAACCTATTAAGAGTATACTGGCTTATGTTAGTTATAATGCTACTGTATTCTCATCTGAAAATGAAATTGGTCCTGACAAGAAAATTTAGAAAAAGAAACAGAAAATACACTAAAACCTTGTTTTAATATCCTTCAAGATACACAAATACTGTCATGTTCATAAGTAACACCTTCAAATCCTTCATAGCAATTGGCAATATATAAACAACTAGGTATATGAATAATACAAAACTACAATTAAAATCATTTTCATAGTTCCTACCACTAAAGTCTCCTGTGGTAGATACTGGGTATTTCTCCTCCAACGTATACTATGTAAGTTAAAGATGGCCATGATCCTCCGCCAAGTGGTGGGACCTATACTCCTTTCCCTTGAAACTGCATGGGCTCTATTGCCATTTTCCCAGTTTCCCAGCCTGTGTCTTAAGCCATTAACAGCTTCTACTTCTTTACTCCTAGAATATTCCCAGCTATACCTTTGCACAAGTAGCTAACATGTCCACGTACACAGCTACCAAAACCACATGGAAAGGTGCCCTGAAGGTACAGAAGAGGACAGTAGCCCCAAGACCCTCTGGAATTCCTAGCCCACAGAATTGTGAGCATTAAGGAATATCATGGGTGGTTTTTGGTTTTTTTTGGGAGGGGGTGGCTTCTTTTTAGCAATAGACACATTGATATCAATTAAGTAACTACCCAAACTGAAGTGAACCAAATCATGAACACTCTGGAAATGCCATTATCTAGCATAATAAGTAAAAAGGTTAATTGTTAAATGATAATTATTGTAATACATACCAGCTCATCTAAAAAAGCTTGCTTATTCTTCCTTTTTAGGATCTGCTGCAGTTGTTCTTCTTTCTGTATAAATAGTCTTCTTTGTTCATTTTCCTGGCGTTCTACCTCTAAAGCTTCTTCCAATTCTTCCTGTTCCCGAGTCTAAAACAGAAATTTACATATGGCATGGAATAAATTTAGCACCCCATAGCAATCTATACCATATTCTGATACTTTATTAGAATCATAAAATACACTAATCACTTGTTTCTAATAATGTAGCGATTCTACTTAGAAAGAATTCATTTTTGTTCCATCTATTAAAGAGAGTATCTACCACTACAGAAATACCTAAACAAACTGCACTAAGTTCAGAAGCAGAACTGTAATAACTGTATTTAATAACAGGGTTTTAAATTTTATTACATGGGGCTAGGGCAGGGCTCAAGTGGTAGAATGCATGCCTAGCAAGCATGAGGTTCTGAGTTCAAATTCCAGTACTGCCAAAAAGTAAATAAATGAAATGTATAATTATTTGCTGGGGGCATGGCTTAAGTTGTAGAGCACCTGCCTAGCAAGCACAGGCCCTGAGTTCAAATCCCAGTACCAACAAAAAAAATTATTATTATAGACAATTTAATTCATTTTAGAAGCTTAAACATGGCTTTTTTTTTTTTTTTGTCCTTTTCAATTCACCTATTAGGTAACCTCCCTCCAAAAAGAGTTCTCATGCAGGAAAAAAATGCCTCACTTACATACTTTAAACTCAGTATGTACAAAATTAAGTATCTGGTCTCCCAAATTCCTTGTTTCTGCTGGAAGCACACCAGCATCTCAAGTGAACTCAATCTCAAAGTCATCTTTGTTTAGTCTCCCTCTTCATTCCCCTTATTTAAATCAGTTGCTAAAGTACTATGAGTACCTCTCACAATCATTTAACAAAATTCACCAACTCTATTACTGATATCACTACTATAGCACAGGTTCCCAGCTGAGAAGGGAATCCAAACTTGATCTTCAAGGAACAAATGTAAAAAGTGATATAGATATATACATGTGTGTGTGTGTGTGTCTGTATGTTTGCAATTAAGTAAGTAAGTGTTAGCCTGCACGTTCCAAGGACAGCCCAAGCCAAAAGTTTCACAAGATCCCATCTTAGCCAATGAAAGAGCTCGGTATGGTGGCACGCACCTGTCATCCCAGCCATGTGGGAAGCTTAAATTGGAGGACTGCGGTTCTGGCTCATGCAGGCATAAACAGGGGACTCTAGTCAAAAAACAACTAAAGCAAAAGGGCTAAGGGAGTAGCTCAAGTCATAGAGCACCTGCTTAGCAACCAAGATCCTGGGTTCAAACTTCAGTAGTGCAAAAAGAAGGTAAGTACACTGGGTACATAGGGAAGACAAATTGATAGGGTGATAAATTTTTCTTGCGCATACAAGTAGAATCAGAGAAAATTCATGTAATGTTATGGGTAGAACTGTATCATCTAAAAAGATATGTTAAAAACCTAACTCCTGATACCTACACATGTGACCTTCACTTCCAAGCTACCATGACGTGAATAGCTGCCATATATTCCCACCATGATACACTGCCTCACAACGCCAAAAGCAACGGGAACAACTAACCATGGACTGAATCCTCCAAAACTATGAGCCAAAATAAACTATGAGCTAAGTTGATTATCTCAGGTACTTGTTATAATAACAGAAAGTTGACCAACAAAGATGACTAAAGGTAAACTAGGGAAAAGACTGAGCAGATAAGAATCCAGCTTATCCCTCATTCCACTATCACTCAAACCAGAGAATTCTGAGCAACTGTTCATTTGAAGAAAAGTTTCACCTGATAAAACCTAAACACAACTGCTCTATATAAAATCAAATTACCTTTCACATCACATAAGGTCTTATGTAACCTGGGCATTTCTACTCTAGTTTCATCTGTGTCTCCCTCTCTCCTCTGTCCTCCCACTCTCATCTCCCACCCCCGGGGCAATATAGAACTACTTACAAGTCTCAGAACACTCCATGATTAACCATGCCTTCTTTCCTTTGCTTATGATTCCTTTCTGCTTGGAATGCCCTGTGCCAGCTTCCCTTACCCCATCCATGTTCTAATTTCTTCACTTGAGTAACTTCTGCTTGTCCTTCAAGACTTTGGACATTATCTTCCTTGGAATGCCTTTCCCAATCTTCCAGAACTCATTAAGTATCTCTCCTCTGTGCTCCCATACAACAGACACACAGCTCTGTCCATGTGCTGCAATGCCCCTGGTCCCTAGAGAATGCAGACATATACTATACCCTTACCAGATGTGCCACAGATATTTATTGAAATGAACTTTTTGTCAACCTGTTAGAAATTCTACCTAGCAATCTCTGCAAGGAATAAGAATCAAAAAAAATTAAAATAAAAAATTGAGCTAATCTTAACTAAGACTCTATTTTAAGATTAATCACTTTTGTTTGGATTTTCCATACTCGTGCTATTAGATATCAGCTCTAGGAAACAAATAAGATCTCCCCAATAGACAAGTCAATAGTAACATTTTCTGTCAGGAAGGAGTCATTTTATGTGCCTAATGAAGCAAAAGAGATCACTTTTTGTTCTTCTTTATACATTTCTAATGTTTTGGGAACAATGAGACTTCAATATTCAGAGACAGTAAAGGCAAGTTGCTACCTCAAGTTAGCAAAAAGTCAGCATGGACTACTTCAAGGCTAACTCTACCAATCTTATATGTTCAGCTGACATCCTAAAACATGTGCTTCTAAGTCTATATGTTTATATCAACACAAAACTCTCATGAACGCATCATTAACAAGTACAATACTCTGCACAGCATAATCAATTAATATTGATACTGAATGACTCACAAAAAGTTATGACATAAACAAGTGCTAATAATTAATACAGAATAAAAGCAGTTCAAATCTTACTGTAACATTTATGAAATAAAGCAACTCTTTCATTCAATAATCCATCATTATAAAGTTCTCAGCTAATTAGAAATTTCTACTTAATAATACAACCCATCTAGAATTAGATTATTCTTTCATCACAGCTCTCAATATGATTTCTGAGCTTAAAATTATGGATGAAAACACTTACTTAAAAAGGAACAACCTTCTACTACCGAATTAAATACAGCTAATGCAGTAAGTTCCACAGGCATACCTATTTTGCAAGCATCTTCTTTTGTAACCAGAGAAGGCTAATAGTTCTTATGGCATATTAATGCTCTCAGAAACAAAATACTTTTTTAACTAAGCCAAGCTAAGTATGAATGGAATGAGAGCTTTTTGGCAGGCAAGAAGTGACTAAATGAAACACTAGAAGACTAGAATGATGAAATCCCCTCCAAACAAGATACAAATTGACATTACACAAATATAATCATTTTAGTGATTAGTATAACTTCCTTATAAGATACCTCAAAAGTAACTGCCTCTACTTCCCCCCGCAAAACCAGAGACCCAAGTTACAAGGAAAAAGTGACAACTAAATTTCATAAATTAGACAATTACATCTCTACTGCATATACTTTTTTCCTTTATAGAATGATTTTAATAATGAATTTAAGTCATAAATATTTCAAAACAAATTTTGACATCAGACTAAGTAAAACAAACCAAAATTCTTTTAGGTAGTAATGTTATTATAATGAAAGAATGTACCTAACCTATTGGAGAAACCAAAATTAAGATCAGCTTAAACATTTGCTCCCCTGACTTAATTATGAATTCATTCTAGTTTCTAATAAATGGTCTTTGTTTACTTTATCTGTCTCTTGAGAGCACCAACACTATTTGTCTGGGTCCTTTCCACTAGTTCTTGCTTTAGATGAGAAAGAAATCAAGGTCTAAGGCTAAAAATGAGCTTCCATTATTCTATGACTATTGTTCAAATGCAGACTTACCCGAGAGTGACACAGACAAAACTAACGATAACAACCACCAATCTTAAAGATCCATTTCCTTAAGAAAGCACAGTCTAATACAATGCTGTCAAAATTGTTTTTGCTACAGTAATGTATGCTTCCCTACCTACATGCTTATATAACATATATTTCTGACCTAAATTTCAGCTAAATGCCTTGTTAATGTAACAAGTTTTAAAAGAAGCTAGGTTGTTAGAAATATCATGTGAAAGCATTTCTTCATAATACAAAAGAAAAAAGTACTTAACCAACCAGCTTTAACTTATTTTTCTGAATGACGTCTTTGTTTTCCTTTTGGTATATCTCCATCTTCTTTTTGGTGTTATCCAAATCCACATTGTTGGTTAAGTTGAAAACTACATCAGAAAGGAAATAATGTCATGAAATAGTTTTAATATAAAGCTTCAGTAGATAATAAAAATAAAATATTCACCATATTGACTTTTTATCCATTGGGTTATCATTCTCTACAGCTGTATTTGTGTCCTTTAATCCTCTACCTATTTTTGAGGCATGCTCTAGTTATGGCAACCATGTTTTCTAAGCCAAATATAAGAACACACTGTCAGACAACTGCACAGAACATCTACGTATCAAAATCACTCCAGAAAACCTAAGGTAAGTGCTTGCCACAATTACATTACATTTTATTTTTATAGACTCCATTCTAACTTTAAAAACATATAAAAGACTGTAAATTTTTTAAATAAAAAAGTAAGTCTAGGATCTACTGTAGCAGTCAGAATCAAAACTGAAAAGAAACTGTGCTCCAGAAATAGAAAAATGATTCAAAAGAATTTTAAGAAAACCATTATTTATACAACTTATATCAAACAAAAAATAGGTTTTGTTCATACTTCAATTGTCTTCAAAATGACTAGGCTCAAGTTGGGGTTGTCTCCCATGCAATCTAGATCTGGAAGAGTATAAAACAGAAAGGAGTTGAAATTTAAAAGGGAAAGCAAAAGATAAAGTGGCACTAAAACTTAGACAAAGTAATTGCTTCAGATAAAGTCACTGCAACATGTTCAGACACTGCTAAATTTTCAGTAATTTAAAACTACCATTTTATAATTCCGGTTCAAAAAAAGTTGAATTATACATGTCATACTGCCTCCTAAATTTACATATATAAACCAAAAGGTTATTAGAATTACTCTGAGCCGAAACAAACAAACCTGTTTGGGTATATATAAACTCATATAAAAAAACTACTGCCCTCACTACAGTCTGCATCCACCTGTCTAAGAAAGAATCCACATCATTAAGACTCTCTTGTTCCATAACTCAATTCAGACCTCTTTCAATTTCCTCTGTAATCTTTCTCCATCCATTAGCCTTTCTACCCTTTGTCAATTGCCATTGCTTCCTGCTTCTTGTTCTACCAACACGATGATATGCCCTACATAACTCTGCCCTATTCTCCATGCATTTTTCCCCATCGCTCTCCTTCTTTTAACTAATAACCATCTCAATAATAAACATCTCAGAAAGTCTCTAGACTTTTAAATTGTAAATTTAAATAAATGACTTGAAAAGTTATATTGGAGGATCAACATAGTTATCTGTTTTGTAAGTATGATCATCGAATAGATTCAAAAGATCAGTCAAGTCATAATTTCATTTTTAGCAAGCCATGATGATAAACATCTATAATCCTAGCACTCAGGAAACTGAGGCAGGAGAATCATGAGTTCAAACCCAACCTAGGCTACATAGCAAGATCCTCTTAAAAGAAGGAAGGGAGGAGACGGAGGGAGGGACAATTTCTTTTTTTTTTCTCCTCAAAAGGCCAACTTAAGTCAGAGTATCAATTTGTCAACAACACTGAAAATTCATACTCATTTAGATATGTAAACTCAATTCTATTACATGCAATTTTAAATCTCTAGGAGATTTGAGAGAAAATGAGAAATAATACCCACTAACTACCTCTCCAGCTTTTTAAACATAAAATAAAAAACAGTAATGATGGTAAGCCAGGGAATCTTGCTAGGATGCAATATGAGGCATTCTGCATTGATCACACTCCAATCCTGACAAAAACAGTCAGAGGAGCTCCAAGCAACACCCTCAGAAAAGTACCTGAGATCCATTAACTAACACTGTGATTCTGATCTTTGTCAATCACTCACAACTTTCCTTTTTATTTACTAGGCCATCACATGAGCTACTAGTCTCCATCATCCCCAACATCTACCAGATCCAAGCAAAGTGGCTTTCCTCTCATTTGTTTCTTTAAAGGATTTCCTTCTCAAATGTTTGCTTGAAGAACACACTGTATATCGCAATCTATGGAATTTGTATGACAGGCACTTCACCTCATTACCTCCCCCAATGTCCTAACAACCTTATGAGATAAGTCTACTATGATTCATACTTTTATTTGTTTGTTTATTTACGTATTTATTTTGTGATGCTAGGGATCGAACACAGGGCTTTATACATGCCAGGCAAGCACTTTAGCATTAAGCAACTTTAAAGATATCTAAACAATGTCCAAAGAATATAGCTAGTAAATATTAGAACCATGAATTAAAGGTAGGCAATTCCAAAGTCTGCATTTTTATCTACAACATTAATTATGTTGTTTGCCTAAATGCCTGAAAACCACTGCTGGCCCAGTTCAGCATTCCTTTTATCTGTATAGACTCTATTTCTCTGTAACTGTAATCAGACTTTTCCCTCCATCTACAACAGCCATCTTAGCACCAACCTCAACCTGGAACAATTGTTAACATGCAGATCTGATCAACTCTTCTATAGCCAACTTAACTAACACCCTTCTTTCACCTTGCTTTGCAGTTACAATCTCTGATCCTCAAATGCCAACAATACTTGATACTGATCTGCCAGCACTTGTCCACTTTCTACCCTGTATAAAATTTTCAATATGCATATCTTGTTTGGCCTATTAGAATGCTCTTGTTTACTACTGATTTAAACTTTCCATTAAATAAAAATATGTAAATTTAATCCTATGTAAAATTCACCTATTTAGAAATAAGTACTTCCTTTTATGCTTATTAAAAATGTTATGATGAATCCCAATAAAAGTAAAGTAACCATGTTTATTTCATTTGTTTCACTTAGAAGGCAAAGATAAAGCTATGATAGAGGCAAATCATGATAACGGATAATACAAACCTCTTCTTTTAAAAAGTAAGGAAAAAAACCATAAAAGTGAATTACTATCTTGAAAACTTTTAGATGAAGCAAGTCTCATTCATGTCACAGTGAATCAAGTTACTAGAACAGCTTTCAAGAAAAGGGAATAGAAGCTAATTTTCTATAACAATCATTTGACCTGCTTACTGGTTTAGCCTAGATGTTGACCTGCCTTTAATAAGTATTAAAAGCAAACATAAATACCTATTGTATCTTCTGAAAGATTTAATGTTATTAAGTACAATTTTAAAGCCTTTTTGACATCCAGGATTTACAATTAAAGCCTTAGGGCTTGCTCACCCTTTAAAAATAGTATTCTCTACACCAAAAGAATAATCTGTTTATTATGGAACTAAAAACAAACCTTTAAGATAATCCCTGTGGTCAAAACGAACAAAAATTGTTATGTATAGATTGCCATAACCACAGAAAAGTTTGTTATTAATGCCATAATAAAGCTCATCTTTATGTATGCCCCTTCTATTGTAAATTTTATGCCATTATTCAAAAATATAATTTTCAATTTTTGTATTTGTGATGTTCAAAGAATTAATAATAAAATTTATATAAGAAAAATCACTTCATCCCCAATTTATGAACCTTAAACAGTGACCCTTTGAGCTACCCTAATTCTAGTTTTCTCCCTTTAGGCTTAAACATGTTCAGTACTACCTTTCCCTCTACTAGATCAAGGTCAAACTTCTTTAGTATCTGTCAAAAAATGGCTCCAATCACTTTCTTTCCTCTCTTCTCTGACTATCCCACAGCATTCCATGTTCCAGTCTTAGCCTGCCACTACTCTTTAAGCCTACCAACTATTTTCATGGGCTCTCAAAGTAAGAAAACCCTATGTTTAAACTTTGGCTCTATTATTTATTAGCAATATGATCTTGTATACAATATTTCAGTTCTCTATGCCATCTCTATATGCAAAATAGGACTAGAAATGCCTGTCTCTCTTAGAGTTAGAGATTATATATGGTCCATATAGTTCAGTCCTATACTTAGTAGGTGTCTATTAAATTAGCATTTTGTATTTTTGATTAATATAGAGATAATCAATACAGATGTTACAAACATAATCCTTGAAAGTATGAATAAAACACAAAGTAGACAACAGATTTTGAAAGGAAGTTTTATGTGTAGGATAACAATCAGAGCAATGCCACACAACTAAGTGGTAGAGCCTCGCACAAATCAAACATAAAAGGTCTACAACTAGCCTTTATTGCATCTCTCATTTCTGCACACTCCCTACTTAGCAAAACAAAATTTAAAACTATTGCCTATTCTCCAGCTTTTATCATCTTAATTAACACCATTAACCTCCTCAAGGTTGCAAGATCTCAATTCATCTTATCTACTCTTTCTAACTCTCATTAAATCAGTCATTTGAATATTCTGTCTCTAAATTGTCCCCTTTTGTTTACCCTGCACTGTTACTTTCTACTCTGAGCTCTCATTACTTCTCATCCAAATTACTGAAATGGCCCCTTAAAAATCTCATGGGGACGTAGCTCACTGACAGTGTACTTGTCTAGGATGTGCAAAGCACTAGGTTCAAAGCCTAGCACAGCAAGAAAAAATAAATCTCACCATATCTCTTTTGGTCATATACTAAAATCTTAAACTGACAGCCAAGTTATAAAGCCATCCTTTTAAATTTTTAATTGACAGTAATTGTATACATTTATGGGGTGTAATGTGATGTTTTGATATAAGTATACAAGTAGCATTATTACATCAAGCTAATATATCCACCACATCACATGCTTATTATTCTTTGTAGCAAGACAACTTTAACAGGTGTGACGGTACCTCACTGCATTTTTAATTTGCATTTCCTTGATGATTAGTGATGTTGAACATTATTTCACAAACATGTTAGCTATTTCTATGGCATTGTTTGAGAAATATGTATTTAAGTCCCTAGCCCACTTTTTAATCAGGTTATTTGTTTCCTTGCTATTGGGTTGTTCAAGTTCCTTAAACATTTTAGAGATTAACCACTTATCAGATGGTTTGCAAATATTTTCTCCCACTCCGTAGATTGTCTCTTCATTCTATTTACTGTTTCCTTTCCTGTGTGGAAGGATTTTAGTTTAATGAATCCTACTTGTCTATTGTTGCTTTTGCTGCCCATGGAACTAAGCCCAATTAACCCAAATCCAGCTTGTTTTAAAGTCTC